CGGTCGTCCATTCTTTAATCGAGCTTCCAGCTTACCACACTCGTTCTTAATAACAACCACCCTTTCGTCTCACGAAACCCCCACCAATACTATCAAAATGCGTTTCGCCGCCCCCGCCGTTGCCTTCGCAGGCCTTGCCGTCGCCAGCTACTACGAGGCCCCCGCCGCCTCTGCCCCTTACGAGGCTCCCGCCGTCTCCTCGGCCCCCGCTGTCGTCTCCTCGGCCCCCGCCTACGAGTCGGTCTCTGCTCCCGCTCCCCTCGAGACTGAGTACTCCACCAAGTACTTCACCGTCACCGACTGCCCCGACACGGTCACCGACTGCCCCGCGCACTCGACTGTCATCACCTCGTCGGTTGTCCCCCTGACCACCTCCACCATCTACGAGACCCGCGAGCACACCGTCACCAGCTGCCCTCCTACCGTCCCCAAGTGCCCCGCCGACTCCACCAAGGTCGTCACCGAGACCATCGCCGTCTCCACGACCGTCTGCGAGGTCACCCCCACCGAGGTCTACCCCCAGCCTCCCCATGCCACCGAGACTGGCAGCAAGCCCGAGGAGCCTGAGCACGTTCCCACCAAGCCTGCCTACCCCGAGCAGCCTGAGCACCCCACCAAGCCCGCCTACCCCGAGCAGCCTGAGCACCCCACCAAGCCTGCTCAGCCCGAGCACCCCACCAAGCCCGCTTACCCTGAGGAGCCCTCCAAGCCCACCACTCCTGCTCACCCCGAGTACCCCGAGGTTCCCTCCAAGCCCGAGCAGCCCACCAAGCCTGCTCACCCTGAGGAGCCCGTCTGCGTCCCCACCAAGTCCGTGAAGACCATCTCGACCTCGGTCACCACCGTCGTCCCCACCGTCATCTACGAGACCGTTGAGGTTCCCTGCCCTACTCCCTCTGCTCCCTCTGCCACCATCCCCGTCCACCCCCCCGCCGTCCCCACCTACCCCGCCGGCCACGGCAACCAGACGGTCCCTGCCGTTCCCACCGGCACCACCCCCGTTGAGGCCGGTGCTGCCGGTGTCTCCGGCTCCGTCTTCGTCGCGGCCTTCGCCGCCCTCGCCGCCTACGCTTTCGCTTAAGCGTCTGTCTCTTCTGCACCGAGAAAAGACTGCCAGGAGGTAACGGGGAGTACTGGAGAAAAACGGGATTTCACGACATGACGGAGGTGTTCAGCTGGGAGTCTCAATGTATAAAGAGGAACGATTTGTCGTTGCTCCCTTCAATTTTCCTGGACTATAATTTAGCATCTTACGGCATGGCAAGATATCGAACACAACACTATCACCCACAGACACTCTGTACCTAATTTTCTAATCTGTACCGCGTTGTCGTGATTAGTGTTTTTGGCACGGCACGACTAGGCATTTTTTGAACGATGGTTTTGTGGAGAATTCGCTGCAACTATGTGACCTGCCATGTCCAAAGTGAGCCTAAATCGTGAAGCGACGAGCACGCAAACTTGGCGAGGAAAACAGCCTTTTTTCCGGGGGGGGCAGGGCGACCTTCCCCAGATTCTGGGGAGGCCAGGCCGATGGACGTTACAACGAAGGCAGAACGGCGCCGGGGGGTGGTCTGAACCTTGTGGTTCATCTCATTTCCCACGGGTGGGGCTGAACTTTGCAGAACCAGAAGCTACCATGTAAGTACGTGCGCCATGGTTGAGAGTAGGCGGGGTGTCGCGCTGGCGCGGAGGCGGGAGATTGCGATCATTCTGTGCGAAACGACCGAGTGGTGGGGCGTGCCGTCGCTCTTGTGCGCCTTTTGCTGTTCGGGCTGTTCGGACTGTACGGCGGCTGGTGGGCCGTGCACAGCACATTTCATGTCTGCATAACGGACTTTGGCGGGCAAGGCGGGGGCTGATTTTGCAGGGAGGCTGTGTTTCACGGCGAGATGTGCAGAGACAGAGGGACCGGTTGTGTGACGATGGGCTCCTTGTGGACGACGACGCGCGTTTGCTTGGTCTTTTTTTTTTTTTTTTTTTTTCGTTTTTGTTTCTGCGGATGTGTTTCGCTGATGGGCTGAGGGGTGGCGCGAGGCAAGGAGTGGGTGATGAGCGGGTGTCTCTGGTTATTTCGATAGCGCATGAGATGGATGGCTGTGGGCGGGATGTAGACTAGGACCTGCTAACCAGGAATCTTTGAGACTCGATCTGGGCTTCTCGGATTCATCTCGGGTTCCTGTTCTATTCAGGCGACCTTGGCGACCAAGCTGCCTTGAGCAACGGGAGGGTTCTCCGGTCGTGCCGTCTGAATTGATAGCATGCTCTCACAACAGCCGCGAGGACTTGGTTATAGGTTTGCGGTCGTGGCTGGCGCCATCAGCGACTCGGAGGGCACTGCTGGTCAGGAGTAAGCACTTCCTGATCTGCCTCCCAGTCGCAGACTGCCAGGTTTACGCAGCCGTGTCTGTGTGTCGCGCGTGTCTAACTGATCAGCTTTGCCACGATGGGATTCGCCCATCGCTCCTGATGCCAGTGCTGCGGAACAGCAGCCCACCACGGCGAAGCTGTGTCGTCAAGGGCCAGCGCCCATTCAATAGTAGGTCACTGACCATTGTTCGACGTCAGCTATGGACGAGGCACCTTAGCTGGGTGCCAAAATGTGAGTTTATCCATGCTGTTCGCTGGGAAGCATCTGCGGCTAACCCTTTGACAGGCCGTAGCAGTTTGCAAACTCATGAAATGAATGTCTTTTCAGAAAGCCACTCTTCGCGTGATTCATTCAATTCTGCGTCTCAAGACACGTTCAATCCCCTAGATGTTCTGGTGATGGTTCCTTTGCCGGCTGAAGCATCATCATGCATCGCATTGGTTCCAACCCAGCAAAGCTCCCGAACAACCCAGGACGCCTCAGACTTGCAAAATCGGTTGGAGTGATTGACACCCGGCTGACCAGTATCACGGCAGGTTTTCTTGCCATGTTTTCTAATACCTCATGCCGTGAGTGTGTGCTGTCGGTGATGGTACATCATGCAACGACTGGTGCAAGATCATATCAATGACTGCAGTTGAACGCTGGACAGTCTCGAAGACGCCTTTACGAGAGTCTTCGAATTGCCATTGTACTTCGCTTCAACACGTCGATTCCAACCAGACACGAATATCATGAGTCCCCGCTCAACACAAGGTTCACGGGCGCTTCTCCCAGCGGAGCAGCTGCTCGAGGCAGAGTTTGACCTTGAGGGCCTTGAGGTTCGCCTTGAAAGACTTGACCTCTCAGACTTTCAACTCTCCCAGTCAGCCTCGCATCTCCGACAGGCTCTCCCAAATCTATATCGACAGCTCGCGGCCAAACACCATGCGGTACCTCTGCCCGTCGGCTGTTCAACCAGCACCACGCACGTCCTGACACGGCCAGGTGGAAAGACCTCTTCGCCTCCTCGTCTCTTCTTCGCCAGAAGCCCCTTGAAACGCACAACACCCGCAGTTCCGTCAAGATGGCCAAGGACGAGACGGAAGAGTTGATTGAACTGATAAAAGACATGTCGGTGGTCGAATTTCTGCGACACCAGCTACGACCTGCGTCCCGCCAGTCCTCCGCGTCTCCGAGCTGTCCTGCAGTGCAGCCCAAGGCCACAAAAGGAACGCCGATTCTCGACTTGCCGCTCGAGATGATCCTGCGGATCGCCTGGCATCTCCGTCCCGCTGACCAAGCAGCCCTATCCATGTCGAGCAAGGTCCTACTTCGCTGCCTCGAGGGCCGCCTGCAACCGATGAACACAATGCATCGGAAAACCTTTCTGCAAACTCTGGAAAGAGACCCTGGCGTTGGCAACCACCTCTACTACTGCACCTTTTGCATCCGTCTTCACAGGTTCGACCCGTATTGGGGCGTCATCAACTGGCAGGCCGGCCCACGGCAGGCGAAGCAATGCCGCTGGTGGACCAAGCCGCGGGCCATCAACTTGAGGCCACACGGATGGTATGTCTTCATCACAAACTTGTTCCCGTCAGCGGTGCGAATACACTATTACCACGGCCGACTCGTGATGAACCGGCATCGGCGAGGCGCACCCAGCGGGCTGCCGCTTGAGCGGCTGCAGGTCAAACGACTCACGTGGACGTGCATGGGGGTTCCGCAGGGCGGCAGCGTTGTGCGTACGGCCGAGATGGAGCCACAGGTTATCAGCGACGAGCTCTTCCTGTGCAGCACGACCACAGTGACAGCGGCGAACGGCGGCGGATGCTCGTTGGACAAGCTGCGCGCGCACGTGGCGGCGCTTGACCTCCAGGTCTGTGGCCATGAGGCGATGATACTCAAGACGCCACGGCACCGCATCTCACCTACCTGGCTGCTGGACTTGTACGAGCAGTGGCGGCCCGGTGCGGCGGGAAGCAGGGCAATCGCCGCCTGGTCGCCGTGCCCCTCGAGCAGGACGCCGATCGTGGTGAGCTCGTGCGGCGCGTGCGCCACAGACACCGAGTCCTGGTACGAGATGCAGGAGGATGCCGGACCAGGCGACAGCACGGGGAAGCAGTGGGTGTTTACGCTGAAGTCGTACCACCAGCTGGGACCGTGCCGGAGACCGATGGACTTCCAGAGGCGCGGCTTCATGTGGCGTGGCTGGGAAGCAGAGGCGTTCCGACCAAGGGCGTATCGGGAGCCCGTCCGGGACATGGTGGCCTTTCCACATGGTTCCGTGATGGTGCGGTGGCGGGTGAGGGACACGAGAGCGTTTGACTTTTCTGGTCCCTAATGACAGTCGTGCTGCTTGTAATAGTAGAATGTTACAGTATTCGATGCTCTGTGAAGGATTACTCGACGGTGACCTTGATGGCTGCCTGGCATGGAATGCGAATCGTAGTGATTGACAGGCATGGCTCGAGGGATGACGAGAATGATGATGATGACGACAGTGAGGGCATCTTGAGGTACGTACCGTTATCGAACCACGAGGCCAATTGGGGGGTAATACTAATAAGTCTTGGTGTTCATGATGAGAACGTTGCGTCGCGTTAGGCGCGGCGCACGTTGCAACCCTTCTGGGGATAGCGTGGCTGGGCGAGATGGGCCGAACTCCTGGCGTGCCCTTGTGCCTTTGTGCCTTTGAGTAAGGTCAGAGATGGTGGGATGGCAGTGGATTGAAACATTGGATTTCAGGCAACTTTTGTCTGCGGCCGAATGCGCCGTCCGCGCCCCGAAGTTGCAGTCCTGCCTAGTACCTCGAGCAGTGCAGTCGCAGTTGCCGCTCCAAAGTCATTGCGCAATTGACTCGAGCGCCAAGATTGGAAGCAGGGGCAGCAGTTCCTGCCTTGGGTGCCAGCAGCACCGCACTCGCACTCGCCCTCGCACTCGCACAGAGGTACCGTACGTAGACTGACTTGTAGGTGGGTTCCCACCAAGATGGGGCGCCGATCATTCATCGCTCCCGGCCCTGACACAAACGGAGGAATGAGCTTGGTAACGTGCGCCCAGCGTCGCTCTCGCCTAATCGCCCAGACGGCAAACCGATTGGCAGCACGGCTCCGAGTCGGCAGGCAGGACCCCACCTGCGTCTGACACCAAACCGCTGGACCGCTGGGCCGCTGGGAAACAGCCGCCCATCCTGATCACCGAGGAAGGAGCCTCCTAAAGTGACATGGCTTGGCAGTAGCTTGGGGCCACTGGTCTCCAATGGCCCCAAAGCAGGCGCAAATCGCGATGCGACGGCACGGAATAAGCACCGTCGCAGAAGGAAGTCGCTTGTGCTCCTACTCGTTGCTCTAGACCACCTTGTGGAGCATCAGGGCAGGGCGGTAGATTGGTCGTGCCCTTAGATCGATCCTGACTGCCTCGTTGGCTAATTATTAGCAAAAGGCAGGTCGCGTCAGCCCTAGAAGCTTGCGTGCCTACCCTGCAGCTAAGGGTGCCTTCCATGCTGATCTGGCGCAGGCGCAGGCGCAGGCGCAGCCCCTCCTCGGTTGCGAGTGCGAGCGGTCAAAGGACAATACCTACCTTAGGACCTACCTTAGGACCTACCTTAGGTACTGACCTAGGTACCTACCTACCTGGCAAAAGTGCGCATTGAGAATCGAAAACGGCATCATGGTGCGCCGCCCGCCATCGCCATCACCTGCAGGTCTTGTCAGCAAATACACGCCGTATGATGACGAATGCACTGCAATATGCGACCCTGGCGTGCGGGTCGGACGTTTGAGTTTCATGTTGAACCCAGTTGAAGCGGTATTTAAGGATACTTATCATCTTTGTTGCTGCCTACTCAATGTGGCTTGGCCTAGCAGCAGATAAATCGCCAGACTCCCTCGACCGTCAAGTCTTGTCTCTCTCACTGTGCTTGGCTTCTTCAACACTACAACTTCCTTCCCGCATCACTTGCACCAGCTATCACCATCACCAGAACCTGTCAATCGAGATATCATCAGTCAGACGCCATGGCCACGACAAATCCCGCCGACTTTGGGGACGTCCCGCCACAGTACATCCACCGCCTCGACAACGGCTCGTACGTCTTCATGGGCATGTTCAACACGTACGGCCCCGGCGCCAACTGCACCCTCGACCTCTGTCCCATCGAGTGGACCGTCTACCAGTATCGCCCCATCCTCGGCGTCTCCATCATGTTCATCATCCTCTACTTTCTTGCTCTCCTCGTCCATGTCTACCTGGGTTTCCGCTGGCGCACCTGGTGGTTCGCCTCGTTCATGGCCGCCGGATGCCTCGCCGAAGTCGTCGGCTACATCGGCCGTGTGCTCCTCTACAGCAACCCCTGGTCCTTCGGCGCCTTCCTCATCCAGATTGTCTTCATCACCTTTGGCCCCGTCTTCTTCACAGCCGCCATCTACGTGACCCTCGCCCGCGCCATCGTCTTCTTCGCCCCAGACATCTCCCGCATCCGGCCCCGCCTCCTCTGGATCTTCTTCATCACCGCTGATATCCTCTGCCTCGTCCTGCAGGCCGCCGGCGGCGCCATCTCCTCCATCTCGGCCGGCTCCAACAACATTGGCGTCGACGTCGCCCTCGCCGGACTCATCCTGCAAGTCGTCCTGCTCTTCGCCTTTTGCGTCTTCTTTGGCGACTACATGTGGCGCTACATCCGCAGCGTCAAGCCCGACGCCAGCCGCGCCATTGGCCGTCGCCAGCGTCTCTTCTTCGGCGGCCTCGCCGCCGCCATTGTCCTCATCTTTGTGCGCTGCGTCTACCGTGTTGACGAGCTGAGCGAGGGATACCAAAACTCGACCAAGATTACCAACGAAGGTCTCTTCATCGGGCTCGAGGGAGTGTGCGTTTCGTTGCCGCCCTTTCCGTTGCGTGCATGGTATGCTGACTTGTCACGTGCAGACTCATCGTGCAGGCGGCCTGCGCCCTCTTCATCGGACACCCGGGCTATGGCTTGCAGGGAAAGGTCGTGTCCGAGGGCCGGACGAAGGAGGCGGCGAACGTCGAGAGCGGCTTGCAGAGCGAGAGTACCAAAGAGACACCGTCCGAATGATAGTCCCGGTTGAGTGTCTTTGCATGTTGATTTGTCATGATGAAGGTTGGTAATTTGAAATTCAATAGAGCGTTTCGTTGGGTTCATATGTTTCCTGCCATGATGGCACTGCTCTGCGGGTTCGTGAGATGCCGTGGCTCCCACGGGCCTCCGTGATCCCCGTGGGGTGGCAGGTTTGCAAACAACGTCACCGGCTCATGCTTGGGAACGGGGAGAAGCTAGCCGAGTAACCACTGTGCTGCATTTCGAACTGGGTAGATCGGGTGGCCGTTCGTGCACGGCACCAAGACCCCGCGTGCCCGCCACGGCATAGCGCACAAACAGGCGGCACCGTGCCCTCGAACGCGTGAGCCCCCTCCAGACATGCAAGACGCGATTCACCCTCCTTGCCCCCGAGACAAGTCAGCGAGACTGAGACCGGTCAGCGAGCTGAGACCGAGGGGCGCGGGGCTTCGTCTACGTCATGGCGGACGCTGGAGGCGATGCTGCACGATGCTCGCGCCACAGGTGAGGCGCCGTCGGACATTGGCGACCCAGCCAGCGGACAGCGCCCAACAATTTGACCTTGACGGCAGACTCTCTACTGCTAACGGAAGACGAACTCGCGGCTCCTCGACAGCCATGCTCGCCTTGATGCGGAAGTGGACCCCCGCGTGGGGTGTGGATCCTCGGCCCCATCCGAGCCGAGCCTAGCCCGTCCGTCTAGCCCCCGTCCGACTCGGCACGGGGCACAGACCCGACCATCGCGAACCCCCCACCACCAGATCCGCCGACGCGCCGACGCGCCGCCCTCTACGCACCCCCGGTCGCTCCAAGGCGGAGCCAACGCGCGACACGTTCCAGAGTTTCGGCAGTCTCTGAGAGAACCCGCGCAGAGGAAGAGAGGGCCGTGTGCGCCATCTGTTGCGAATAAGCCTTGACTTTTTTTCAGATTGAAGCATATCTCTACGAGGTTCGCCTCGTCTTTCAAAACCCTGTTGGTCGGCTTTTCGTGTGTTGCGACTTGTTCCAGTGAACCCCCCTACCATGCCCGTCTGTCCTCTTTGTGAACGCCAAGCTCGAAATCCCAAGCAGCCGTGATCGCCGTGTAACACAGATCGCCCCTCCCTCTTTTGGAGTCTTTCTTGCCATGTGAGGCCCATTTCCAGGATCCCCCGACATGGACAAGTCTGTTCCCTGGCCGCACAGCGCAAATTCAGACCGAAGGCGGCAGCACAGTCCTCGCCAAGCTCACAAGACCCGTCGCAGCACCGCCGAGCGCCACGCCCCCAGCCGGCTTCGTCTCCTTGGCGTCCTCCTCAGACGCAGACTCGAGCACCTGAGCAGCAGCGGCAGCAGCAGCGGCAGCAACATCAGGCGTAGTCTCAGCCCGCTTCACCACCGGCCCCGCCTCGTCCTCCGACTCGGCCTCCCTCTCCTCCATCTCAGCCTCGACCGTCGCATCGCTGTCGACGCTAGCCTCTCGCACCGCCCGCTCGGCGGCAGCAGGCACCGGCACAGGCCGCCTCTGCAGCCTCTCGAGCGGCACGTCGGCCTGTCCGGTGCGGAGCTTGTAGTTGGCGAGCCCGAGCCGCAACCTCAGAATCTGGGCTTTCTGCGACGGGGTTAGCGGCGTCATCTCTCTCCCTCTCTCGCAGGAAGCAGGAGCACGACGGGGGAAGAACAAACCTCTCTCGCCTGCGCGCGCGTCAAGGGCGCCGCCACCACCGGCCTCGGCCCCAGCGCAGCAACAGCCTGCTGCGCCAGCTCGGGGTCCGTCATGGCCGTGTCGTCGTGGGCGTTGGACGCGATGCTCGCGTCAAAGACGGACGAGACGGCCGGCGAGGCGGATCTCGTGCCAAGGGGCTCTTGTGATGGGTGTTCGGGCGTCGTTGTCGCCGTCGTCTTCGGCATCACCGTCTTTTCCCTCTCGGCCTGCCGTGTCCCGCATGTCAGCTCATGGCACTCTTCGCAGTCTCGAGCTGCAGAAAGAAAGAAAGAAAGAAGAAGAAAAAAAAAAGGTAAAATCATACCTCGATGCTGGCCTCCCGCCTCGGCGAAGAAGGCAAGCTCCGCCTCGACGGCCGCTGCTCCCCCTCCGCCGCCGGGTCCTGGCACAGCTTCTTGGCCGGGCCGTTCTCGTCCACCCGCGACACGACCTCCTGCAGCGGCCTCTTCAGGCCCGCCGGGGCGCCGGTGCTGAACAGGCCCATGCTCGCCTTGAGGGGCGACCGCGCCGCAGCCGGTGCCGCGGGCTGAGGCTTGAGGGAGAAGGCGGCGGCGGTGCCGGGCGAGCTTGCGTTTGCGTCGAGGGGCGCGAGGGCGCGTCTCTTCGTTGGAGAGTCCATTGTTTTCTGGAACGTGGCGGAAGAACCGGTTGACTGTATGTCTGTGTGTTTGTGTGTGTGAGAGAGAGATTGTCCGAGTTTCGGGTCAAGGTGCCCTTTGCTGCAGATCGTGGACTGGGCTGTTCGCGCAAGAGGGAAAAAAGCAATGGGTTGCGTAGGTAAAAGGACGCGGCTCGAATCGCGTCCCACCACAGACGGGCTGTCTCCAAAAAGACAACAAATAAACAAAACGTGGTGTTGACGCTATGAAGCAGGGCTGGGCGCACGCAACCCCAAAGATCACCACAAAACAAGGTGTATTCCTGAAGTTCGGGAGAGAGATGCAGAGGTTATCGCGAGAGTCTGGGACGTGATGGGAGAGAAGTAAAGGTTGAGAACGAGATTCGGCCACGGCAGGCCAGATAGAGACCGACGCGTGAAGACGAACGGGGCCGACAAGGGGTGCTGATTGAACACCCTCTTCATCCCGCGAGCGGGGTGCTTATTGGCTCGTTTGTCCTGGGTCGCGTCAAGAGTCCACGACGGGTTGCACCCCCCAGGTGACCCCATCCACACACCCCCACCCCCCACCTTACCAACCCCCGAAATCAACAGCTGGCGGTGCATTACCTTTGGCCCCCCTAGCCTTTCAGGGTCCATCGAAGGCGGTATTGATATTATTCCCCTTTGGGCTAGCGTCATATCGCCTTCGGGTGTCACATCAGTGTGGCACGCGTTGGGTGATGGTGTAGACCTCGTCCTGCAAGGTACCATACATATCCCCATGAGCATGGGGGGCAGGCCATGACCATGGTACATCGTACATCGTACATTGTACATCTTACATCTTACAGCGTACAGCGTACATCGGCATCTTCCATGTCACAGCGTGTCCACCGTGCCCTCGCATCCTGCATCGGCATGGTGCAACATGGATCAAAAGATCAGGGTATCATTCCGAGCCGTGTGTACACAGCTGCCTAGACTGGTGATGAAAGAAAAATGTAGGAAGAAAAAGACGAAAAAACAAAGAGTCATGACCCGAGGGTTGGCTTAAGCATTATGCACGCCCCCCGTATACAATGTCAAATGAAATCCCAGTCCGTTT